TGTGTGTGTGTGTGTGTGTGTGTGTGTGTGTGTGTGTGTGAAAATCACTAAAATTTTAAAAAGGATATAATTTTAAACCTATAATTTCAAAAGTATAGTTGGTTCATAGTGAGAGACTAAATTTAAACCCGTCAAATATAAATTTTAGATCCACGTCTTCATAATAGTACGCCCATCCTCTTGAAATCCTGGATCCGCCTCTGGTCACTGTAATGTCACATTGCATGATTATGTAATTACATCAAACTAAATTAAACCTCATCTAAAATGGTAGAGTTTTGTCAACTGATACAATATTTTCTTATACGTGCACAATCAATTCTTAACTTGAATTAACTTTGTGTTCATAATATTTCATGGGTGGAACATGTCGGGGGAGATATGTTTGAAAGTATTCCAGAAGGAGATGCTATTTTTATGAAGGTATGTCCAAATCTTTGAGGAGCCGAATAGGTTTAGCAGAAAAAGTATTAAATGACTTCTTGTTTTTCTGAAATTTCAAATAATTTAAAAACAAATTCAGTTTGTCAAAACGACTAATATTTGGAAGTGGGGGAAGTAATCAATAGAAGTTACACAAGATATTGTTGGTTTTGGCTGTTCTTTTTTTTTTTTGCACCCTTCCTAGAAGGTGGTCTGGAACTCAAGATGCTCATAGTTTGTAGCAAGTTTTTGTTTGTTATGGTAATATTCACAGTTTATTCCAATAAGTTTATTAAATTGGGAGGGAGGAGGTAATAACGTGCTAAAACGACTTTAATTTTATTACGGTGATGTTCGAGCCAACTTGCACACACCTCGACTAATTCCACTAGCTACCTGCTACTTCAAATCAACACAAGTATCGTGTAACTTTGTCTACCAAGGCTTAGATGGAAATAAGTTACCTAGTATTTTTTATATCCGTTGGAATAACGTGCCAAAACAACTAATATTTCTATGTTTCTTAATGAAGTGGATTCTTCACGACTGGAGTGATAGTCATAATCTCAAGTTGCTAAAGAACTGCTACAAGGCTCTACCAGACAATGGAAAGGTGATTGTTGTTGAGGCCATTCTACCAGTGAAACCAGACATTGACACCGCAATGGTTGGCGTTTCGCAATGTGATTTGATCGTGATGGCTCAATATCCTGGAGGCAAAGAGCGATCTGAACAGGAGTTTCGAGCCTTGGCTACTGAAACCGGATTCAAAGGCGTTAACTTAATATGTTGTGTCTGTAATTTTTGGGTCATGGAATTCTGCAAGTAGATTTCTACTGTGCGTTGAGTTTCTACTCTGAGTATTCATTTATGGCAGTCTCGGACTGGAATTGCAGCTTAGTCCAGATTGAACGTTGATATTCCTAATAATATTTCTATTATTCCCTTGTTTGTATGAAAGGATGTCATTTTGAGTATTGATAAACATGTTCTCTAGGACAGAAATTGTAACTTTGTCCAATTTATATTGATATTCCTAGTAAGATTTATATGACATGTGTCTCTGGTATAAGAAGAGTTTCAATATCCACAGACGGGCACTTGCGAAAGCGTCTCTGTTGGAAGCGCGTTTCCTCGCCATCTTAGTGGGACTAAGGCGGATGTGATTGACAAAGTAGGAAGAGGTGAGTCTTGTCTTTGTTCACTTTGTCGTACTCAAAGGAGTGGTGACCCGAGAGTACATACCGGACGAAATGATGGTGGCTCTATACAGGGGATTGTCGGGTTATTATAGGTGCATTAACTAGAAATTGGGACTAAAATTTCAACTTAGTCCACACTGGGACATTATTCCTAATAATCGGTTGCTAACATGTTACTTTTTCCAGTATGAGTATAAGCTTGAGTACCCAGAGATAGGACTTGGCACATGAAATTGCAAGGTAGTCCACAACTGGGAAATGGGGTGTTGATATTCCTAATTATCTTGATAACCTGGTTTACTTTTTCTACTATGCGAAGAGTTTGCAGACTACAACTGAAGTTGTATCCTAGTCCAGACTAGGATGTTGATAATACGAATACGGAGTTTTGGGCAGTAGCAGAGCCACATAGGCTCAAGGGTGATCAGTTGAACACTCTTGCACCGGAAAATATACTGGTTTTCCGGTTTTGGGACTTGAACACCCTTAACAAGATTTCTGGTTTCGCCACGGATTTTGGGACTTGGTTCTGAACTGGATCTCTTGAAGGTATTTAATCCCAAGAGTGTGCCCTTAGTAGAGGTCTAAAATTATACTACTTGAGAAGCATAAGAATAGAGGGAGCATGATCAAGGAAAAACTTTTTCAATATCTGCAAACCATCATAGGGAGATTTACATTGATCACTGGGTGAAAACTAAATAATGGCGGAGATACGGTAGCATTGCTTAAGCTGTGGCTAGTCCTACCTTCATACTTCCTTTTTTTTTTTGGTTTCTCAATTGGTGTCTGATATCCACATTGGGGCCCGACTAAATCTGGTTTCGTGCCAAAAAAGTACCACATTAAGGGGGTAAAACATTCCCTAACAAAGACGACTCCATACTCATGGCTTGAACTCGAGACCTCTGGTTAAGAATGATGGAATACTTACCACTCCACCACGACCCTTGTTAGTTTTGCTACATACTTCCTACAATTATAAGATCATGACAAATTGACAATAGACAACCATATAATGTCTGGTTGAAAAGAACTTTCTTGAAATTTTGTCATCATAGATATTGGCAAAAAGACAACCCAGCGCACTAAGCTCCCGTTACACGCGAGGTCCGGGGAAGGGCCGAACCACAAATACTGGATTGCACATATAAAAGTGGTGGTACTGGGAGTCTTGTAAGGTGAGGGCCATGTTAACCCAAATTTGCATGGTAGGAGTTTTACTTTTCTTTTAATTGCAGGTAATATCAATTTCACTCTCTTTTGGAATCTTAAAGTTGAAAGTTGAAGAAAGAACTAAGAAGGGGCTTGTGGCATTAAAATATATGGTAACATGTTTTGTTGTACAATTTCTTTTAATCCATTAATTTCCAAAGACATGGATCTACTTGAAAGCATTGATATACATTAACTTCCAACTGCTAAGTAAAAACATACGAAGGTGAAAGAATGAAAAGACAATGTACAAATAAGCAATATATAGACATGGTTCATTTGAGTTTTATTCTGTTAGAATATTAAGACAGCAAAAGAACAAAGCAGAGTTTACATTTCAAAGAGCAAAGCTGCAAGATTGCTCAACTGAAATCTATTTTGACCATGTTTCTGCAGCAGCATCCGGACTCTATTCCCCTTTAGCTGCTCCCAATTATTTCCTTGTACAAGTCCTTGATCTTTGATATCAAAGCTTCTCTGTTAACGGCAAAATGTTATAAGAAGAGAGGTAAGTGGTGACAAACACAAGATACGAATAATAAACTTAGCTTCCACTAATTCGTATATCAACGAAATGGAATTACCTGTCTGGTTTGAAGACCAAGTTCTTGTAAGCAAACCACTGCAGAGGAAGACAGATCCAAGAAAATTAAAGAAGAACAAAGTGAATTGAGTTCAAAAATTTTTTGTGGTTGATTACGTAGTTCAAAGCTTTACCAGATTAAAGCTTTGATACACTAACAGTGTAAGACCTTTTTGTTTAACCCTATCATGTAATTATCAGTTATAATAGGATATTTGATATAGACAAGTACACTAACATTTAAACACTTGAAAGTTTTTGACACTATAAGTTTATATAAGTTAAAACACCAAAAGAAAAGGCTAGGAGATTTAGGAGGAACTAATTGTCATCAATCATTCAGCTTTATAGAGAACACAGCATACAGTTAGTGACTAAAAGTGGCGAATGTTTCAACTTACACCGGTGTAACCAATTCCTACAAGCTCAAGAACACCAGGAATCAGAGGAAGCCTGTCAATTGCCTGCCACAATTAAGCACATCCTTTTGTCAAGCTTGTAATAATTGAACTAAAATGGAAACCAAAAGGTCCTAAGTTGGAAAATAGTAAGTAGCTAGAATAAAGCAGTACCGAGATAACTCCAGTGGAGCTCCATAGTAGAAGTACTGCAGCAACACCAAGTGAACTGACTGCGTACTTATCATCAACTTTGTCCCACTGAAAGGAGAAATTAAGTTGGTATCAAGATTAAGGCGGAGCAAATCAAGAACCAAGTGAAGTGAAAAAGCTAATACATATTAGTAGGTCATTACAGCTTCTTGAATTTTTTGGAGAAGCTCAGATGGTAGCTCAGTGGTTGCCATATCAGCTGATGAGGCCTCTGTAGCAGTTGCAACCTCTCCAGTAGACGTTGCCATTGCGACCACATTCCGAGCAATCTTACGACCTGCATCACAGCGCATCCGAGACAAGAAATTACAACAGCACCAATAACTTTTTAGTATGAAGTATAGTGTGAATTACTTCTTCCGTTCTAACTTATATACTTTTTGCTAAATGTGTGACCAGTTATATTTCTATACAGCTCACTATGTTAAACTGACATTTTTTTTCCTTTTTAGTGTGTTACAAAAAGAATGACAGTTTTTAATATTTCGAAGCTCTTTAACTTAAACTTCTCATTTTACCTTTAACGACATGTACTTACAGCAACATAAATGTCATGGCATGTTTAAAACCACAAGTTATAACAGTACTTTTGCTATGCGCTATACATCTTTTTTCCATCAAACTCTGTGCTTAGTCAAACATGAATGTAGTATCTTTTTAACACCATTTTACAATATAATATAAATTTACATGGGTGAACTTGCTCACATTGCTAATCCCACAGATAAAGAGAAGCGTTGCGGTGAGTTAACAGCCTAGTAAAACTAGTCAGTTCATGATGAATTCCGACAATACAAAACACGTTGAAACGTGCTCACCTAGACACACAACACATCTTCGGTGGAACGACATGAACAATGATGATTTCATATTACCAACTTTAATTTGTTTGCGAATAAGTAATTGTTTTGTTGTTCTATAATGTATGATACAAATTACCATTTTAAAACTATGTGTTCGATCAAACGCGGAAGGTCCATTGAAAACAGACTATCTACCTGCTTCAAGTTGGGTTAAGACTGTGAATACCCTACTGAGCCCAGACCCCACTTACTTATGAGAATACACCGGCTACGTTGTTGTGTTCGATCAAATACAATGGCAAGTGGAACAGAGGCAATTCAAGACTTGAGCAAAAATTAATCAAGAAAAGAGTTACTTACAGTAGGCAGTGGTTCTGGCAGCACGGCTTTGGACGGCAGGTGGGGGAGGGAGGGTG